CACCGATTTGTACAACTACTTAGACACTACACCATATACTCTTCTTTCGCCGCCCTACCTTGCAACCTACTTTAACTACAGAACCAATTATGAAGCCTCACTGGACATCTGCTTTGGCTCTGCACACTTTCAACATGAACTACAGTTTCATACTGGACCAGATATTGGTAGTGACCACAAACCCCTCATAATAAAATTTACTAACTTTCACCCACCAACCCACCCGCTTACGCTTCCCAAGTGGAACATTAAGTACCTAGACAAGAAAAAATGGGCTGATATTGTCCGCCTCCCAGACACAGACGAATTAGACCCTAACAAGCGCCTGTCCACAATCCCCTCGGCCATAAATTCTGCAGCCACCCAAATGCTTAAGAAAACTTCAGGACATAGGTCCAACAAACCACTTAAACCGTGGTGGAACGCGGAATGTGCACGAACAGTCGCTTTACGCCGACGAGCCATTCAAAAACAAAGACGTCAACCCTCCCTACAGAACTTGGTCAATCTCCGGCGGGCTACAGCAGCGGCCAAAAAAAACATACTATCAGCAAAACGAGCATCATGGGCAACATTCTGCGATAGCCTCACACCCACAACGCCGCACTCAAAAGTCTGGGCTACATTTAACAGCATTAAAGGTCGCCCAACATTCCCTTCGTTCCCCCTGATGATCAACGGTTCACTCTGTCAAACACCTCAGGAGCGTGCAAGTGTTCTCGCTGAATGCCTTAAAGTTACCCTCTCAACACCCTTCCTTCATGCCCAAGAACTCTCCCTCAGACAAGAAATTGACCGTGCCATACCGCTGCCCATGCTCGGCGTCGACAACGTGTACACCTTAAGCGAGCTACGATTGGCCTTAAACCGCCTACCTCTTGGCAAGGCACCTGGAGAGGATGGAATTCCATATGAGCTCATCAAATATCTTCCACCGACTGCACACAGCACTCTTCTAAACTATTACAATCTATGCTGGACTCACGGAAATATTCCTTCACAATGGCAGACCAGTATTATTCTTCCGTTCCTTAAACCAGGAAAAGACCCATCCCAACCTGCGTCATACAGACCTATCTCCCTACTATCATGCCTCAGTAAAGTCATGGAAAGGCTAGTACATACTCGCCTCCAATGGTACCTAGAGTATAACAATATTATCCCGTCACTCCAAGCTGGATTTCGACCGCAATGCTCCACGCTAGATCAAATACTCTGCCTTGAACATGAAATCCGCACCTCTCTCAGAAGCAGTAAATATTGTCTTGTTGTCTACCTAGACCTCAAAGGAGCTTTTGATAGCATTCCTCATACTTGCCTCCTCGCAAAGCTTGCATGTTTAGGCGTTCAGGGAAGATTACTTTTATGGTTACAGTCCTATCTCACAAACAGGACCTCCAAAGTCTTTATACAAGGCGAGTTTTCCGATGGCATCCCAATACAAACAGGTGTTCCACAAGGCTCCATACTAAGCCCAACCCTATTTGCCGCATTCTTAGCAGATTTGCCTAACACCCATCCTGTTCACCTCTCGGCGTACGCCGACGACTTAACATTGTATTATTCAGACAATGCCCTACCAAATACAGTCTCTACAATGCAAACAGCACTGGACCACCTCATAGATTGGACACAACAATGGGGCCTTCAAGTCAGTACTACCAAAACCTGCTATCAGATTTTCACTAAAAAAAGACTACTTCATCTACCCACCCTCACAATACACAACACTCCCATCCAACACGTACGAGAACATAAATATCTTGGCATGCGCTTAGACTCCCCCTTACTTACCTGGAAAGCACACATTCAACACCTTAAACAGACGACACAATCCCGACTCGCCATACTTAAAGCCCTCACTGGCACCACCTGGGGAGCACACCATAAAATCTTGCTCCGTTTCTATACAACCTACATTCGCAGCCAACTAGACTATTGTTGCCAAGCATATGCGTCGGCGGCGCCCACTAACCTACAGAGCCTCGAGGTCATACAAAATAATGTCATGCGACTTATATGTGGCGCAATGCGTTCAACTCCAATCCTCGGACTTTACGGGGAAACAGGCCTCACAAGCCTAGCCACCAGACGAGACATTATGTGTGCCAACTATCTGTCACTCTGCACCACTGCTCACCAGACACACCCATACAGATCAAAAATTAACCCAACAGTTAACCCATATAACCCCCGCTCCCCAACCATTCACTCGCAACCTTTCCTCACACGGGCTACAAATAACCTCAATATAGACCTCTCCCTACTTCAAAACTGTGAAACCCAACCTCCTGTTCCCCCCATTCCACCTTGGCTTTATACAACTCCTAATACAGCAATACAACTCGAAGACAACATTCCAAAATCTGCACCAAACTCAGCCATAGCCTCAGTCTTTGTCTCAACAATGAAAAATTGCTACCCAAATACCACAGATTTACACAGATGGGTCTCGCATCTTCATGAACAACGTACCCTCGGTCACTTGCGCTGTATGGATACCGGAATACCATCTCAAGCAGGGATGGCGGTTACCAAACCAACTATCTATTTTCACAGCGGAATTATATGCCTTATATCAAGCTCTCCAAATCATCACAACATTACCAGTTGGGATATATACAATCTGTAGTGACTCCAAGAGCGCGATTCAAGCAATTTCGTACTCTTCGAAAACATGCAAGGAGATTGTCTACCCATGCCTTCAACTTCTTCACAAACATCAATTGAACGGTTATGACACCTCTATCCAATGGGTCCCAGCACATTGTGGTATTCTCCATAATGAACTTGTAGACCAACTAGCCAAAGCAATGCACGACACGCCTCACCTCACCCGTCATCCAATTCCCCATGTTGCACGTAAAGGAGCCTTCAAAGATACCATCTCCCAGGATTTTGCAACAAACTGGAAAACGTCATGCTCACCTTTGCACTATGGGTCAATTAAAAAGAAATAGGAAACTTGGAAACATGTCCGATATAAAAGCAGAGAAATTGATGTAACGATGACCAGATTAAGGCTGGGACACACCAAACTGGCAGCACACAGCTCTAAGTACAGAACAGACATCAACGAACTCTGTACTCACTGTCAGGTGCCTGAAACAGTCGAACACTATCTCCTGCACTGCTTCCGACATTATAGTGCCAGAGTAAATTTCAAACAAGTCTTTATCGCACTTAAAATACCCTTCACCATCGAGCATATATTAGGAGGCGGTGACCACTCGTCACAAGAAAAATACCAAATAGTCAAAGCACTGGCTAAATATCTCCAATCGACCAACAAATTGGGTCACATCTGACCCGCGCCACATTTATACCTGGCGCCACCAACAGCTAAACACAGAAAACAACTGCCTCGTCGCAGCACCAAGGATCATTTGACGCCATAAACACAACACACCGCCCTACGGTGCGGCTAGTCTCCCTCTAACACACACCTCTGTTTTAATCACCGTTCCTCTATCTACAGCACAAAGCAACAAGCACCTTGGTAGCTCCGATCATCTCCAACATAAACGCGTCCAACAACATCAGTACTGGTGCAGTCATCGGGAGGACAAACCCTTCATGCAAACTGCACCTACTATCAACAAGAAGAAGAATCGATAAGGGATATATACACAGAAAGGTATGCTCAGATCCTCTGTGTATATACACTGAGATTTTGTTGTAGTCTTGGACTATGTTGAGGACTAAAGTATACATGCTTGTTGGCCAGTATGTACTTGTGGTGGTGTTAGTAGCCCTCCAGGCGGTATCAATCTTCAGTGAGCCCCATTCGCACGACACTGGCCTGGAGACCTCACCCTCAAAAGGGCACCACTGCTCTGGGAAAGGTGCAGCGCAGAGCAACAAAAATCACCCCAGAATTAAGTCAACTCTCATATAAAGAACGGTTGAGGGCCTCAAGACTAACAACACTACAAACCAGACATGACAAGGCTGATCTTAAGACCTTTAAAAGACTGACCAAATTGCTAAGACATTTTAAGTGTTATTTTACCACTGATATACAGCACAATGCTATAGTAAATGTCGCGTAAGTAATGAAACATTAATGTTTAGAGTGAAACTCGCTTCTTAAGTCACAAGTAACGAAAATAATAATAATAATAATTAATAATAATAATAATAATAATAAATTATTATTATTATTATTATTATTATTTTTAATTATTATTATTATTTAATTATAATTATTATTATTGAAATAATAATAATAATTATATTAATAATAATATAATAATAATAATTATTATTATTATTATTTTTAATTATTATTATAAAAGCGTCAACAGCTGGACAGAGCTTCTACAACATCGGCACAGCTGTAGCCGCGAGCAGCTGATGGGTCTGTGACCAGTCCTACAACATGGTGGCGGGCCGCCCCAGAAACAGGTCTAGGAGCGCCTGGGGCACAATATTGTGTTTACACCTCTGATATTACCTTAAAGGGAATCCTTGAATGACATTGGTGCAGCTGCCCGTCTACAGGGCGAACGCTCTTCCTAGAGAAGGTAATTGGGTGCCACTCTGTGGCCATTGGGTATCTCCCTGTGGATGTTGGGCATTTCCCTGTAGATGTTGGGTATCTCTTGTGATGGGTATCTATCTGTGGATGTTGGGTATCTCTATGTAGGGGTATCTCTACATTGAGTATCTCCCTGGAGATGATGGGTATCTCTATGTTGGGTATCTCCCTGTGGATATTGGGTGCCTCCCTGCAGATATTGTGAAAGCTGGGTGTAATATCAGTAATGAATGAATTCCTAAGTGTAGCAACAAACTCAGTTACAATACACTCAGCTGCCTGAATGACGGAAAATCGAGAACTTCATAATTCATTCAAATAATTGTCAGTATTCAGCGATATAGAATCCTAACTCATTCATTAAACGTATTTAAACCTTGTTATCGCACTAAATTACAGATATCAAGTCCATCTAGATATCATGTGTACGATACACAGTAGTCGATGCAAACTTACTTACTTGCACAATGGAGGCGCTCGCTAATTAGAAGCGGGTATTGGGCATCCACATCTGTATTTGTGTTCGTGACTATCGTAAGGGGATGGGGGACATTCGACAAGTCGCCGGCTTCCTGTCCCCTATCGAAACCACTAGAGATGGTGGCCCTCTGGAAAATTCAGGTAAATAATTCCTATTTTTATGGACTTAGTAGTTTAAATAGAGCTAGTGACATCCTTAGATTGTAGAATTATAACAAGAGATTATTAATCGATATAACTATCTAGATAAATAATTAAATAAATTAATTAATTAGAGACGAATTATAAGTAGAAAATAATTTAATAACCCGTCCTGTCACCTAATACGTCGTATTTTTTTACGGAATCGACCAATCCACCAAAAATACGATGATTTAATTGAAGTTAAGGCATAGTAATTTTGACGTTTTCTATACATGTGCCTCGAGAGGTTAGGTGGGTTGCTTGCTTACTGATCAAGGACCAAGAGAACAGGTTTAAATCAGCGGTGGACGTTGTATTGACCACCATATTGATGATTATCCTATTAGACATCCTATTACTAACCTCTCTATTACAACCAATCAATTAATTGGTAATAATAACAATAATAATAATTACTGTATGTACACTTCAGGATTAACATCGTCTAATTGACAAGTGAATCACCGAGACAATGATTTGAAAAGTTCTACAGCCACACTCTGCCTCTCATACCTATACTCTCATATGTTAAGTCTACTTGTGTGCTTCCAAGCAGTCCTCTCCAGCTGAGGAGTTAAGCCTCACCCTCCACTAGGTAGGCCTATCACGGTCACTCTAAACTGTACAGCCAATTACCACATCACAGCCAATTACCACCTCTCCGTCAATTACCACCTCTCCGTCAATTACCACCTCTCCGTCAATTACCACCTCTCCGTCAACACTAGACGTTAAGGTGACAAACTTAAGCATCGATCTCACCATAACGACTCTGGTCGCTCCTGGCTGATAACTGCTCGCTAAATTAGTTACACCAATTAGTGACCGGAAATTATATACCGCCTATACAGGCCTCACAGTGGTTGATGACAGCGTACAGACTCAACAGTTACGGAAGATACCGTGTGTTCTTTATGGGGGTAGAAATAGCCTAAGCTACTCTATCCTTTTGAGATGTATTTTTTTCTTGTCTCAATAAACATACTTGAACTTGTGTTCTTCAAAGAATTACTCAATATACTGTGTTTAGCTTTATTCTTCAAGAATTGTTCATCTTATGAAAATCACTATAATAAATGTTAAAACAAAATTTTGCATATTTTTAATAAAATGTTTTTTTTTATCCTAACCCTTGTCCAAGATGGTCATCTAGCTAATCTTGTCATAATACATCAGTCATAATATTCCTGGATCTGTCAACATTTTGCCCCAAATATTTCTATAATACATCGATAAGCAACAAATATAACATATAAAACAAACTAAAAAACACTAAATATAAGACTATTCATCAACCGACAGCTCTTCACACACACACACACACACACACGCACACACACGCACACACACACACACGCACACACGCACACACACACAATAAAGCTGTTGGACCCGACAAAGTATCACCGTGGATACTTAAAGAGGCAGCGCAGGCTCTCAGCGTGCCTCTGGCAATGATCTTTAATGAGTCACTTATGTCGGGAGAATTGCCCAGTTGCTGGAAGGAGGCAAATGTCGTACCGATTTTCAAAAAAGGTGATAGGGAGGAGGCACTTAACTACAGACCCGTATCACTGACAAGCATCCCCTGCAAAATACTTGAAAGAATAATTAGGCTAAGACTTGTTGAACACCTGGAGAGCATTGGGTTTGTAAACAAGCACCAACATGGGTTCTGGACAGGGAAATCATGCCTAACAAACCTTTTAGAATTCTATGATAAAGTAACAAGGATAAGGCAGGACAGAGAAGGCTGGGCAGACTGCATATTTCTTGACTGCCAAAAGGCCTTTGATACGGTACCGCACATGAGACTGCTATACAAACTTGAGAGGCAGGCAGGAGTAAGCGGAAAGGCCCTAGTATGGGTGAAGAACTACCTAACAGGAAGGAGCCAGAGGGTAATGGTAAGGGGCGAAAAGTCGGACTGGCGAACAGTAACAAGTGGAGTACCTCAAGGATCGGTGCTGGGACCAATCCTCTTTCTAATTTACGTAAATGATATGTTTACAGGAGTGGAATCATACATGTCAATGTTTGCAGATGACGCAAAATTAATGAGAAGAGTTGTGACAGACGAGGATTGTAGGATCCTCCAAGAGGACTTAAACAGGCTGCAGAGATGGTCAGGGAAATGGCTACTGGAGTTTAACACCAGTAAATGTAAAGTTATGGAAATGGGATCAGGTGACAGGAGACCAAAGGGACAGTACACAATGAAGGGGAACAGCCTACCTATAACGATTCGAGAAAGAGACCTGGGAGTGGATGTGACACCTAATCTAACTCCTGAGGCACATATAAATAGGATAACGACAGCAGCGTACTCTACACTGGCGAAAATTAGAACTTCATTCAGAAACCTAAATGAGGAAGCTTTTAGGGCACTTTACACTGCCTACGTGAGACCCGTCTTAGAGTATGCCGCGCCATCATGGAGCCCCCACCTGAAGAAACACAAAGAAACTGGAGAAGGTTCAGAGGTTTGCGACGAGGCTTGTCCCAGAGTTACGAGGGATGGGATATGAAGAGCGGCTGAAGGAACTGAACCTAACGACACTAGAGAAAAGAAGGGAGAGAGGAGATATGATAGGGACATATAAAATACTCAGGGGAATTGATAAAGTGGAAATAGATTAAATGTTCACACGTAATAATAACAGAACGAGGGGACATGGGTGGAAACTGGAAACTCAGATGAGTCACAGAGATGTTAGGAAGTTTTCTTTTAGCGTGAGAGTAGTGGAAAAATGGAATGCACTTGGGGAACAGGTTGTGGAAGCAAATACTATTCATACTTTTAAAACTAGGTATGATAGGGAAATGGGACAGGAGTCATTGCTGTAAACAACCGATAGCTAGAAAGGCGGGATCCAAGAGTCAATGCTCGATCCTGCAAGCACATATAGGTGAGTACACACACACACACACACACACACACACACACACACACACACACACACACACACACACACACACACACACAAAGGAAGTGTGCGGCCGGTGGCCAAGCGGACAGCACGCTGTGCACGTGATCCTGTGGTCCCGGGTTCGATCCCGGGCGCCGGCGAGAAACGATGGGCAGAGTTTCTTTTACCCTATGCCTCAGTTACCTACCAGTAAATAGGTTCCTGGGAGTTAGTCAGCTGTCACGGGCTGCTTCCTGATGTGTGTGTGTGTGTGTGTGTAGTGTGGAAAAAAATAATAGTAGTAAAAACAGTTGATTGACAGTTGAGAGGCGGGCCGAAAGAGCACAGCTCAACCCCCGCAAGCACAACTAGGCGAGTACGGACGGTAGTCAAGCAATGCTAGTATTCTGGTAGTGTTATGATGACGTAGGCAGCTCCCGGAGCGCGACAGGGGTAACCTCCGCCATGTTACCGCTAACATATATTTCTGGCGGTGACACTCGCCTTCCTTCGTCCCCCCTCCGCCCTTCCCCTCCCTCAGGCGTCCCGGGTCCACAAACAGCACCTCGCGGCGGGGTTCTAGTCAAGGAAATGCGCCACAGGACTTTCTAGTTATCACAGAGATAAAAGCGCCAGCCGAGCGTGGAAAGTTAAAGGTTAATAATAAATATTACAATAATTACTGGTAGAAACCAGTAGAAAAACCAGTAGAAACACACCCCAGTAGCAGCTGATATATTGTTAGCTGCACAAGTAGCGTGTAAGTAGAAGCTGGAGAAGAAGCATAAGCTACAGATGCAGCAGTCGCACGAGAGCAGCTGCAGCAGTAGCGTGAGAGCAGCTGCGGCAGAAGCGTAAGAGCAGCTGGAGCAGTAGCATAAGAGCAGCTGGAGCAGTAGCATACGAGCAATTGCAGCAGAAGCATAAGAGCAACTGGAGAAGTACCATACGAACAGCTGGGGCAGTAGCATAAGAGCAGCTGCAGCAGTAGCATAGGAGCAGCTGGAACAGTAGCATAAGAGCAGCTGCAGCAGCAACATAAGAGCAGCTGGAGCAATAGCATAAGAGTAGCTGCAGCAGTAGCATAGGAGCAGCTGCAGCAGTAGCATAAGAACAGCTGCAGCAGTAACATAAGAGCAGCTGCACCAGTAGCATATAAGCAACTGCAAAAGGAGCATAAGAGCAGCTGGATTAGTAGAATAAGAGCAGCTTCAGCAGTAGCATAGGAGCTGCTGAAGCAGTAGTATAATAGCAGCTGGAGCAGAAGCATAAGTGCAGCTGAAGCAGTAGCATAATAGCAGCTGGAGCAGAAGCATACGAGCACCTAGAACAGTAGCATAAGAGTAGCTGGAGCAGTAGCATACGAACAGCTGCAGAAGTAGCATAAGAGCAGCTGAAGCAGTAGCATACGAGCAGCTGGAGCATTACAATATGAGCAGCTGCAGCAGTACCATAAGAGCAGCTGGAGCAGAGGCATAAAGGCAGCTGGAGCAGTAGCATAAAAGCAGCTGTAGCAGTATCATAAGAGCAGCTGTAACAGTAGCATATAAGAGCGGCTGCAGCAGTAGCATACGAGCAGCTATAGCAAGAGCATAAGAGAAGCTGCAGCAGTAGCATAAGAGAAGCTGGAACAGTAGCACAGGAGTAGCTGCAGCAGTAGCATAAGAGCAGATGCAGCAGTAGTATAAGAGCAGCTGCAGCAGTAGCATAAGAGCAGATGCAGCAGTAGTATAAGAGCAGCTGCAGCAGTAGCATACGAGCAGCTGCAGCAGTAGCATAAGAACAGCTGGAGCACTAGCATACGAGCAGCTGCAACAATATCATAAGATCAGATCTAGCAGTAACATACGAGCAGCTGGAGCAGGAGCACAAGAGCAGCTGTAACAGTAGCATATAAGAGCGGCTGCAGCAGTAGCATACGAGCAGCTGGAGCAGTAGCATACGAGCAGCCGGAGCAGTAGCATACGAGCAGCTGTAGCAGTAGCAAAAGAGCAGCTGTAGCAGTAGCAAAAGAGCAGCTGGAGCAGTAGTATACG